TTCCAATTTTCTTAATTTAAAATTTTTGAAATTGTTAAGCTAACGTAATGATTTTCTAGTATATAGGCTTATATAGGCTTCTGTTGTTGACAGATAACGTTTTATTCCTAAGATGTATCTGAATTTGTGGTGGTATTTCATTTAAGTGAGCTATTGCGTTGTATCGCTTGTGCACATTGCAAGTACAGTACATCCGAAGTTCACTGAATTGTTTGTCAATATTTAATCTGTTCGTCAGTATTTAATCTCGAAAGGACCCCTATCATATGAAGTAACCAATACCGTGTCAATCTCTTTGAAAAGTTGGTCTTGAACCTCAGGATGATGCAGCAAATAAATAATCGCCCATCGAAGCGTTGTTACGGTAGTCTCCATTCCACCTGTCCACAGATCGCCTGCATTGAGCGCCAGCGAGATTTTACTTAAAAAAATCATGAAATCATATGAAACGATAGGTTCATCACCAGAAATGTTTATGTTATTAAGTAGCATTAATGTTGGGTATCTTAGTGCCTCAAAGAAATTGAATATGCATGCTGTGATAACATCAGTAGACTTGACTGACGGCTCAAAACTCAAATAATGTGGAGGATTGCGTCGATCAGGATACCTCAAGTATATCAAAATCAGAGCTTCAGCATGTTGCTGAGATCAACCAACGTGAAAATGGTAATGCCCTTGGAAACACGGAATACACTTGAATCAAATTTTCGGTCGGCTGATGTGATCCACGAATCGGAGTGGCCGAAAGGAAAACACGAAGAAAAGGATGGAATAGTGATAATTTACTTATTATCTAAATACACGAAAATTTACTTGTAATATCCGTAAGCGATTCGTCGCCTCATTTCCTTTATGTAAGCATCAATGAAATCTGTTGATTCTTCATCATCAGACGATAGATTATATTCGTGCACATCGATATGATCCAGAAAGAATCTTTAATTGATCGATGATCACGATTGTTAATAACACTGATATTATAATCAGTAACACTGCTTTTACTACTAACAGTACAGGTAACCAAAATTATTAAGTGGTTATCATCTACCATACTTATGATCGTCATGATTTTTGACCGTTACATGTCGATATTCCATTTTCAGTGGACACAGTCATAAATAATGGACGGTGAAATGATTATTATTTGAGACCAATGGAATCATATCATATCATCTCAGTGATAAGCTGTATTCCTGGCTCAATCAACTCATGAGTAAAAACGAATTCACCTTTGCAGTGCAAAGCCATTTTTGTAATAACGATAATAGGTTGGTAAAAAGAAGCGCATCCACGGATAATTATCCACCATCAACATTTGAACACTTGCTACCTGAAATCACTCAATGCCGATTCATGCAATGCTGATTCAGGTTGTGGCAATCAAGTCGCATTCTTAACAATTCATCAAAGATTCCTCAACGCTTTGCTTGAAAATTTTAAAAAATTCCCATCAGATCCATGCGTCGGTGGTTCAGTGGTAGAATGCTCGCCTGCCACGCGGGCGGCCCGGGTTCGATTCCCGGCCGACGCATACTTTTAGTGATCTGGGTTTATTTTTCCATTACATGACAGATCCGTTCTGATTATCTCCGGAAATCAAGGATAATCCCACCATATCCCTGCGTCGGTGGTTTAGTGGTAGAATGCTCGCCTCCCACGCGAGTGATCCGGGTTCGATTCCCGGCCGACGCATCCAATTTTTTGAAATGTTCAACGACATCATTGTATTCTCGATATGAGATATCATTTGTCATCTCGAAAGGTTCGTAATCAGTAACCTTTTTCACATCAGCGCGTTAACAATGCACTAATTTCATAAAAAATCATTTTATACGCTCAACAATATTCTTATAGAACCAAAATAAAATTCAAGATGTCTCACATCCTT